TTACTAATACACCTACCTGGTTTTATGAGTTGTGACTCAAGCATAACTTCCCTTTTCCTTTCCTATCTATCTAAGCATACTTACCCTGACACTCTGAGTATCTTTACTTTCTCTGAAGACACCCCCTCCCTCATCCAGCTGATTGCTGACCTCTGTTGCTAAGCTTGCCTATTTTCTTGGACCTAACTCAAAAGGCATGGCTCTCTCTCCTCCATTTCTTCCTCTCCCTCCTCCTGGCAGTTGACAAGGTTTACAGCTTGCCTGCCCAGTATTTTTCTTTCAAATACTAATAAAATTACCCTGCGCTTTCTTCTGAGTCTGTTTTTAAATTCTTTTATCAATGAGACTAAGAACCTACAAGAAAGGAATGCCAACTCCCTAGTAATATATGTACCACATTTTTCTTATTGACTCATTTGCTGATTAACAGCTAAGCTGATTCCATTTCATAAGCTATTATGATTAGAAAAGCAATAAACACAGATGTGCAAGTATCTCTGAGGTAGGATATAGAGTCCTTCCTCCATGGTCTCTGCTTCAGTTTCTGTCTCCAGCTTCTTGCTTTAAGTTTCTGTCTGACTTCCCTCAAAGATAGACAGTGCCTTGGAAGTATAAGATGAAATAAACCCCTTCCTCCCCAAGTTGGTTTTGGTCAGAGTATTTTATCACAGCAATAGAAAGCAAACTAGGACAGCATCCACTGGAATTCGAGGTACAGAAGGTTGTGAGCTACCATGTAAGTGCTAGGAACTAAACCTGGGTCCTCTACAAGAGCAGCAAGTGCTCTTAACTGCTGAACTATTTTTTCCAGACTCAAGATTTTATATTTTACCAAGATAATTGCTTATAGTTTTATTGAATTTGTCAGACCTCTACTTAGGAAACTGAGTAACAGAGTAAGGATTTATTTTAAAATCTATTTTTGTCAAGCTTTGTCTAAATACTATACAATAGAGTTTAAATCACCATTCTTTCTTTAATACTGGTGTCATTGACCTTCTTGGTGTCCATCAGCTGAGAGGCCAAAATCAGTAAGGATAAAGGGGTTAAGAGGACAGCCAGTATTTTGTCCCTTGCCCCCAGGTCAGCCAGGTCCCCAAGGACCAGGGGATAATAAGACACCTTTAAAAAGGTTCTACAGCCTAGTAAGCTACCTATCCTCTTTCTCAGAGAGGTCATGGGACCCCAGAGATCAGTCTCTAACCAGCATACATTCTGCAAAGAGGAGCATTAACTTCAGGGTAAAACATCCTCTGTGCTTCCAAGAGAAGCCGCATGGTCAGCAAGATCCTAATGCACTGAAACAGATGACACAACTGGTAAGGGGAAACTGAAGAAGCCAAGAAGTTCCTGCCAAGTCCTTAAAGTAACCATTGAGGATCCTCAACTTACCATAACAAAAAGGTTAATTTTTGCCACTTGTATATTCAATAGGCAAAAACTGTATATTTCCTATTCGATAGGAAAGTATAGCCTAAAATAGTTAATATTAGAAAATAAAATTCTACCAGCCTCGACCAAGATTCTCATACTGACCTGGTTCATCTGGGGACCCAGTGTTCTAAAGTTCTACAATGAAGAGTCATCCAAGCTTTGGCAAACTCAAAAACCCTTTCTAGGTTCTTCAAACTCAACTCAAGAGTCCACTACTCAGTCTCAGAGAACAAAATCAACAAGTCCCAGAGTTCTGTTTCAAATCACAGTGCTTGTCGCGAGCCGGGACTCTGTCCAGCAGAGTCCAGGAAAGAGACACAGACACCAAGGTGAGGTTCAAGCTTCTGTTTCTCTTTCTTCCTTTATTCTCTCTTATTCTCTCTCATATTCTCTTCACTATGATGCTGTCCTTATGATGCTGTGTTTTTCATGATGCTGTCTCCTACCTCTGTCTGTCTCTCTGTCTGTCTCCTATTACACACTTCAGCTCTTTATATAGCGTTTCCAACAGCCCTCCCCCCAGCCGGTACCAATCAGGGCTCACACACGTGCAGCGGCCAGGCAGAGTGTAGCCCACAGGCACTTAGCAAGATCATCAGGCTGGCAGCACCTGTTTTGGGGCTCACCATACTTCAAAGTTGGGGTAAACAAGCGGGATTCACGAGCCTTGGCAATCAGCCAAGAGTTGAAGTAAACAGCACGAGGTTTGGCAGCCAGCCAGGGCTCCATCTTTGGCTGGCTCGGCTGTGCTCGCTTCCCACAAGTGCTAACTATAAAACCTTGCCAAACTAAATCTTGCAACCTTCCTGTCAGATGTGAACCCTGAGGCTTCGCTGCAACACCCCTGTTTGTAGACAACTGGCCTTCCCTGCAGTGTTAGTCTTTTATAGGTGCAGGGTTCCCCACACCTTGTGGCCCATTTCCAAAGCCTTTTCAACCCTTTGTTAGGCTAATCCTAGAGGAGCCCTCAGACCCTCTCCCATTTTACAGCCTGTCTAGTTGTAGAAGAGCTAAGTACCTCAGGCAAAATTGGCAAATAGATTTCACTTACATGCCCCCATGCCAGGGACTCGAGTATCTACCAGTTCTTGCAGATTCCTTTATCAGGTAGATGGCCTCAGAAGTAACCACTGTCCTCAAAACACTATTTCTTTCTTTGGGCTCACCCAGTCTCTACAATCTGGCTTTCACTTCAACTACCACTCAGAAAGTAAGCAAAGCTCTCAAAATTAAATATTCTCTCCATGCAGCCTGCAACTCCCACTCTTCTGGAAAGGTTGAAAGGGGCTAATCTAACACCCAAGAGCTCTCACCTGGCTCACACTTGCGACAACAGTCTTGGCCCACTCTTAATTCCACTTTTAAGATCCCACATTACATTACTCCCACCCCTTGAGGTCCTTTACAGTAAGCCCTTCCTGCAGACATATCTCCTGCTGGATCCAGAGACTCGTCATCTGTCTCACACTAACAATCAGCTCCTTACTGTTTGGACCTAGCCTAGCAATGTGTGATGCCTTACACAAATAATTGAGTCTAACTCTTTTCTTTAATGTGTTTTGTCTGCATGTATATAAGTGCACCATGTGTCATGCAATGCCTGTGGAGGACAGAAGAAGGTGTCAGATCCCCTGGAACTGGAGTTAAGGATGGTTGTTAGCTGCCATGTGGTGCTGGGAATCAAACCTGGGTTCTCTGCAAGACCAGCAAGTGCTCTTAACCCCTGGGCCATCTCTTCAACCCCTAGAGTCTAACTCTTACTGACCCCAGTACCTCACACCAAATGGCCAATCTCAGGAAAGACAAAAAGTGTTATAAAACACAGCCTGAAAAGATAGTGGGATGTTCAAACGGCCCAAGAGATAAGACCAAGGAAATTCTATTAACTGCTATAAAAGAACCCAATTGCCTCTCAGGGGGCAAATCTTATTTTCTCGCTCTCTCTTTCCTCTCTTCCTTTCCCTCTTTCCTCTCTCTGAATTTTCCCACTGTGTCTGTCTCATAACATATAGTCTTTATTAAAACTTTTTATGTAGTTGTATATCTACTGGTGAGCCCACCAGGCACCATTTGACAGTTCCAAACCTGTAGTGACACAGATGACTCTGGTTAAACTCAGTGAATCACAAAACAAAATGAAAAGACATGAATATGGGAAGGGGACTTATAGAGAGGAAGGGGACAGTGGATGAGGGTGGGAAGGAAATGGGAGAGGGTGAGGTATGAGAGTAATCAGAATTCATTGTATATATGTATGAAATTGTCAAAGAACAAATTTAATAAAAAGTATCAATTATGGTCTGGTAAGGGTAGGGGGTGAGAGTAATCAGAATTTATTTTATATATGTACGTATGAAATTGTCAAAGATCAAATGTAATTAATAAAAAAAAAATCAATTCTGGTCTGGTAAATACTTTTTTACCCCCACACCTTGGGCTCACTATTCTCAGAACCACAGAAACAAAAATTGCATCATTGGTAAGACCCTTCCCAAATATAAATGGGGGGTAGGAACTGAAGAGATGGCTCGGCCACTAAGAGCACTGGCTGCTCTTATAGAGGACCCAGGTTCAGTTCCCAGCACCAACATGACATCTAATAACTGTCCATAACTCCATTTTCAGGGGATCTGACACCCTCTTCTGGATTCTGCAGACACTGTATGCACATGGTACACTTACATACATGCAAGTAAAACACTCATATGCTTAAGATCAAAATATATAAAAATTTAAAAAACAAATATAAATGACAAGTGTCTCCCATGCCCCAACCAGATAGAGACCTCCTTTAAGGCAAGAGTCCCTCGGTGTTTAAAAAAAAAAAGACATTCTATTTATAACCTAAAGAAGCCCAGCCTGGGCATAAGATGAAGAGAACTGACACATGTGAAGAGGACCTAGGGCAATGGGGGGAATCTTCATTCCCTTAATGAGATATGCACCCCAAAGCACCCCCAACTTCGTGCAGTTGTAGTCAACCTCATTTGCTGAGCCCACCTGCTTTCTGTCTTCTCAGAAAGTCTAGTGTTCCCACCCCCTCTTTCCATCTCCATCCTTCTAGCATCTGCCAGGGTCATAAGCATGCTTGCCCTGTCATTAAGGGCACTTTCTCTCTCCCTGATTCCAATAAACTGTCCTCAAGTTCCCTTCTGCATCTGTTTCTACATTCCTTTATCTATGTGCAGAAAAGACTGTGTCCCACACCCTGCAATACTTCCCAGACTCTGGAGGAAGCCTGCCCCCATCACCAGCCTTGCAGACATTAGCAGACAGTGTCTCTATTGTCCTCAGCACTGCCTCTAAGATTGCTGGGCATACTGCTTAGGGGCAGCCAAGACTAGCAAAGAAACAAAACCCTCATCCAGAAAACGACCTTCAGTCCTGAACATGTGATCAGTTAAAGTTCCCACCTCCCCCGTACTCCCTCCCCTCCCCTCCTGGTGCTTTGCACTCAAGCACTGCATCGCTCCTTCATCTCTCTTAAAGTTCACCCCCTTTGTCTTCTGTTCACCTTTCCTTAAAGCTTATATCATTACTGTTTAACAAACTTTTGGAAACACCTGTAGATAGAATCCCATGCTTTTTGAGTCTTTATTGTACTCCACTTCAGACAGATCCATCTTTCGGATTTACTTGAAGGCTATTTACACCCCATTCAGGTTTTCTAAAAACACTGAAAAACAAAGATACCAGGAAGAGTCTGTTAGATCTCATGAGGATCTACATTCAAGTTTACGGGCATCAGACATCTCTCCAGGAGTAGACCAGCCACTGAGGATAGGGGTGGGGGGCGTTGCAGTGTGGGAAAGGGCTGCAGCCAGGCTTCCTCTTTTCTCCTGGTTTCTCTGTTGCTACTGGGCTAATCATTTGTCTAATCAACTGTCTGTGGGGACACTCCCATTGAAAGTGTGCTGGCAGAGGCAGACTGCTTTCAAGTCTAGAATAGAGCCTCATTCCAAACTTTGCCAAGAAGTGTATCCCAAGGTGATCTTAGTTTGGGCATTCTGTGTTGACTCAGACAGAATGTGGAAATCTATTTCTGCCCTTAAAACCTCCTGTGTGTGTGTGTGTGTGTGTGTGTGTGTGTGTGTGTGTGTGTGTGTGTAAGGGTTCTGCAGGTTTCAAGAGCTGTTGCAATGCCAGACAGGCTGTCTGCCCCCTTAGATGACCTGTGTGCTATGTCACAACCCACCATCTCCTGAGGGTTAGCGAAGCTCAGCTGCTGTGCTAACTCCTTCCCGCCATCCCTTGGCCTGTTTGTCTTGAGTACTGCAAGCTCTGCAGAGGAGCACTTCTGCATCTCATGGTGCCACTGGGCACACACAGGTCATCTAAAAGGGGGATGAGGCTATCTTTGATTCCAGTCCTTTTTAGGCCCCTCAACATTTCAAGGTAAAAGTTTGTGGTCAAGATGCATGTTCACTGTGAGACTTCCTCAGAGCCCCTGTTCTTTGTCAACACACTGTTGAGGAATAACTGGCCAAAATGATAGATCCCCAAAATCACTGCAGGCCCCTGGTACCAAGTACAAAGACAGCAATAGTGGTCTTCTAACCTGGTGTTATGGGGACCCCTACTCTCTAGAAAGTTGTCTTCACCCTGTTTATGAGTGCGTTGGTGAGTCTTGTGACTGGTGTTGATGAATCTCTGTGATTGTTGAGTGTTGATAAGTGAGTCACTGTGATTGATAAGTGTTGATAGGTGAGTCACTGTGATTGGATGAGGGCAGCATGGCCAGTGTTCTGTTGTTCACTTCCAAGTGTGGTTCTCAGGGGCTCCTGGTATAAGACTCCATAACTCTGCTTGCACATAACAGCCTCTGGCAGTGTCCTGTGTCACAGTGATGGCACCCTCTAACCAAGAGGCTGCCGAAGGCCCCTACAGTGTCTTCACTAGAGATGTGTGGACTGTGTATACCATGAATGGTGGCTTAGCAGTGCAAAGGTAACAGCAGTCACCTCATTACTACCTGGGATTCAGGCCTCTCCTGTCCGTCTCTTCATTACACTCCACCTGTCTCATAGCCCAGCCTACATTTGACTTTCCCGAAGAACCCTTTGTTGCTCTAACTGCTGAGGCACACACTGCTCTGTAACCACAATGCTTGGGGCAGAGCTAGCCTTTCATGAGGGTCTACTTCAACCCAAGGGCATGTTGAACATGGAATTTTGGTGGACAGAGCTTACAAAGAAAGGCCAGGAGTGACAAAGCTAGGCACATATCCAGGGAGATTTTCTGGAAATAAGATATAGAAGCTGGATGAGTGGGAGCCACGGGAGGGAAGAGTATGTTGGGCAGAAGGAACAGCAGGAGCGGGCCCTTGGATGTCAGAAAGCATCTTCACCACAGGGTCTCTTCCTATGTTGCCACTTCAGAATTCATCATCAGCGAGTCTGTGCTGGGTTATAGTGCATCCACATTATAAGCCCTGCTGTGAGGATATAATTGTAAGATTAATTTTGTAGGCTGGAAAGGCTTTTAAGGGCTATGGTATTGTGTGGACAAGGGTCAGATACTTGTTCAACCATCACCCTTCACAATAGTCTTGCCTGCCTTGCCAACAGCTTCTCCCTAGTCACCTCATTACTACCTGGGATTCAGGCCTCTCCTTGCTTTGTTTTCAAACTTAGAAATTCTTCATGGTAAATTATGTGATATGAAACCACTATGTACATTATGGGATCATAAATCATGAGAGATGACAGAGTACCAGGGTGAAGATGCCCATGGTGGCCATAGTATTGTGCCATGCTGTCCAACCCAACCTTCCTATACAAACATTGGCTTCAGGACACCCTCAGAGGCCAAAGCCCACTCTCCTGCCCTCTTGCACGCTACTGCCTCGCACATGTGCAAGGGACCTTTATCTCATGCAGGTGACAATAGCCTCAGTTGCCAGTATGTCTGAGAAATTTGAGACAATCCTATTAGTGGAAGAATTCTAAATTTTGGATGAATTTCAAACTATTGTGTAAAATGAATCAGTGATCAAACAAGCAAATAAAGGCTGAGATTAGAAAATACTGACAACAAGAGCAGGAACCTAGGGAAGAATTTGGTCTGACTTTTTATCAGCCTGAGGATCTCACATGCAGAGGACCCTGTCACCTGCACAAGCGTCTCTCTTCTTCCCAAGAGGGAATGTTTCAATTCATGGGAAATGGCTGCACAATAGATGTGATATGCTATAGGGAACTCATCCCAAACCCAAGGATGAACTCAAGGTTGCTCATCTCTCTGCTAGAGGCCAGGCAGAACTAGGGGAAAGTGCTCTTCCAAACCGTGTGTAGGATAATGAGGACAAACCTGCCCTGACCAGAGCACAAATTTACATTCATGAGCATGGTGTTAAAAATGCTCAGGTCAGTAATGTAACTATAAAGTGATTGCTAGCAGTAAGTGACCTCAGCTGTTCACCAGAGACGAGAAGAAATCCTTCTAGGAAGTACTTGTCTTCCAGCAGGCCTTTAAAGAATTCTAACAGAGACCTGAGGATGTACCAAATGCTCAGTTGGTAGCATACCTTTCTATCATATGTGAAGCCCTGGGTCAATCCCCAATACAACATAAAGTGGGCTTGGTAGTGCAGGCCTTGAATCTCAGCACCTACAAGGTAGAAACAGGAGGATTAGAAGCTTAAAATCATCCTTGGCACATTCAAGGCCATGCCTTAAGTCTATGGGCATGCCTGTGGTGGGTTATATTAATTTCATTAATTGAGATGGAAAGACTACTCACTGCAAATGGCACCATTCCCTGACTAGTGTTCTGGACTGTATTCATGGAAAAAGAAAATTGAGGGGCCTGGAGAGATAGCACAGAGGTTAAGAACACTGACTGTTCTTGCAGAGGACCCAAGTTCGAAACCCAGTACCCACATGGCAGCTAACAACTGTCTGTAACAATTGTCAGTTCAAGGAGATCCAACAGCCTCTTCTGTCCACCTCAGGCATTGCATGACATGGGTGCACTTACCTACATGCAGGGAATACACGCATACACATAAAATAAAAATAATAAATAAATTTTTTTAAATAATAAAAAGAAAAAAAGAAAAGAAAATTGAGCAGCAGCATGGATCTGTCCATCTGTTTCCTAGGTGTGGATGTGATATGACCACCTGCCTCCAGCTCCTGCTGCCTTAACTTCTCTGCCATGAACTTGAACTGCAGCTAAGAGAAACCAGCTCTCTCTTAAGTTGCTTTTGTCAGAGTATTTCATCACAGCACCAAGAAAAGAAACTAAGACAGAGATCAAGCACATTTTCAAAAGTACCAAATAACTATGACACACATATTTTGAAGAAAACCCCAAATGGGTTTAGCACCATTACGGACCAGCTGAATGGTGCTTAGTGCTCAATCTTGTGGTAATTCTGTGCTGAGGTGCAGATGAGATGTCAGACATGTTGCTGGCACTGTTGGAGATTTGTGAACTTCTGAGCCCAAGAGCAAACCTTCTGTGTAGTTAGTAGAATCTCAATGCCAATCTTCAGAAGCTGTGGAAGGATAGCAGGGTTCTACAGTTGGTGATTTGGTGGTAGGAGCTGGGAGTGGAAGTGAGCAGTGCTTCCCTGGGCCAAGGGGAGGATGCCACACCGAGTAAAGGTGGGTGGGGTTGAGGCCAGGTTGGAGGTTATTAAGTGGGTTGAAGATCTTAGAACCACTTGTAGTCTCTGGGCTGTGTGGTAATGGGGTCTTTGGTGGTTGGGGTGGTGAGGAGACAGGCTCTGGGTGTTGCTATTTGTCAGAGGGAGGGTTTCTGGGGATGCCTATGGGGGTGGAGGTTTGCAGCGGAGCCACCCATGTGCTCCAGGTGTTGGCAGGGAGCTGATTTCAGGGTTTGGGGGCTATGGCAGGTGGGTGGCAGCAGCCTACCTGGGTCTCCAGGTCACCTGGGGTGACTGGTGAGTCTCTGGTGTGCAGCCAGTTTGGGACATGAAAATCCCAAAGGGAAGGTGGGAATTAGGAAGAGGTGAGGGTTACTGGGAATCAGTGGCTGTGGTGGGGATTTGGAGTGATAGCTGGGAGGCGGGCAGCCTACCTGGGTCTCCAGGCCATGTAGGACACCTGGAGATGCTTTGTTGAAGCCAGCTAGGCTCAGCCATTCCAAAGGGAGGGAGGGAATCAAGAAGAGGTGAGGATCCCTGGCACGTGGTGGGAGACACAGGAGGACAGAGGCCGCAGACTTGGATCTCCAATCCAAGTGGGGTAACTGGAGAGTCCCTGGTGTGCAACCTCTGACTGGGAAGGCAAATCTCAAATGAAGGGAATCAGGAAGAGGTGAGGATCACTGGTAAGCAGTGGCAGCAGAGATCTGGGGTGATAGTGGCGGGGAGGGGCAGCCTACCTGGGTTTCCAAGCCACTTGGGACAACTGGAGAGTCCCTGGTGTGCAGCTGGCAAAGGACAGGGAATTCTGAAGGGAGAGAGGAGGTCAGAAAGAAGTGGGGATCCCTGGCAAATGGCTGCAGTGGTGCTTTGGGGTGACATGGGGGGACAGAGGCCCCAGCTCTGGGTCTCTTGGCCACATGGGGTGACTCAAAAATAAATAAATGTTTTAAAAATAAGATAAATACCTTCAGTCGAGTTGTTGGCTAGGATAGATAAAGGCTCTTCCAGACAGTAACCCAACAT